CCTACTTACATAATTCACTTACATTCACTAAGAGTAAAAAAAAAAAAAAAGGTATTCCAGATCAAAACAATCTTTGCTTGCTTATCTAAATTTGTGTGCACTGCTTTTATCTGATCTCTCTAGTCATGCATCTCTCTCTCCCATGACACCACAGACAAATTTTCAGAGTGGAGCTGCATTCTTATCTAATTGTTTATTTGGAGATTGTTTTTTTTTTGTGTGTGTGTTTTGGTTTTTTTTAGTTATTTTAATATTCCCTTCTGGAATAAAATGTTGATAGCCCCAGGTGAATCTCTATTACAATTTTATTCACAGCTTGCACGTCTTCTAATGGCATGAAGACTATTTTCTCCTGTTGTTCTTGTCAAGAAGATGACTAGTGGTTTTTAGTTCCTCTGTGTATGCTCTTAACGTGGTTGACAGCATGCTGACAAAAGCTGGTTGCATTCTGCTTTTCTGGTAGTTGCCATTTCTCCTATATGCCCTTTCTTTTTACTTTCCTCCCCTTCACCCCCCTCATTTCCTTAAGAATTCCAGTGCAAATTGATATTTTATTATCATATGGTTGCGCCATCACTGACTTGGGTAGAAATATAATCTCTCTGTTACACTTTAATGTGAACCAGTTTTTACTGTAGCTAAATTCTGGACCATCTACCTGGCCCAGCTACCACCTACTTTGCATGAACTCTAGTATCCATCAGATACAGTCTTTTTTTTCACGCAACCTTTGGGACATTACAGGATCTGATTTTTGTCTATCTGCATTGTTACGAATCCAGTAGGATAACATGGAAGTAAAGGAGAGGTCCACTTTGATAATAAATTCTGGAATATTGATACTAACAGCTTGAGAACTTTTATGTAAAGTCTGAGTTTTGAGATTACAGCCATTTTGCCAACATTGGACACATAAAGCCATATTGAAAAGAAAAAAGAAAAGAAAAGAAAAGAAAAGAAAAGAAAAGAAAAGAAAAGAAAAGAAAAGAAAAGAAAAGAAAAGAAAAGAAAGAGAAGCATGAGTAGGATTGTGCATCTGACAGGGATGTAGAGCTAATGGAGTCACTTTTACTTGATCTTGACAACCAGCCGAGTGGTTCTGCTCACAGCACCTTTGCTGCACTGCAGAGCTATAATATCAGTTGTTACTTTCTGAGGTAGCTTGTGCAGTTCCAGCTCAGCTGGCCTTATATGGGAATCTGTCTGTCATGAAGATGTCCCTGCAGTAAGCATCATAAGTGGACTTCCAGAGTTTGCTGTGACATAGCAGATGTGCGGTTGTGGGTAGGAGGGTGCCACTGCCAAGGTAATTCACCAATCTCAACTGCAGCTTTTAATCCTTGAGATCTCATTTCTGTCCTTTTGCTCAGTGACACGGCAACCTCCTCTGGCAAATAAAGTAAACGAGAAAATTGAAGAGAAACTGTTGAGCAGTTTACTTCTGTACGAAAATCGTGTGTGGTGATTGGCTGTGTAAGTCTGAGTGACAAGCAGGGGAGAAGAGACAAGCAAATGTGCAGCTGTTCTGGATTAGCAAACATGAAATGCAAGCCCTGTCTTCACAAAAACAACTAAGCTTTAAAGACAAAATGCATATGTACTAGTAAAACAAAGACATGGAAGTAAGGTTTGTGTTTCCTAAGAGCATAAAGAAACATCCGACCTAAAAAGAATGTACGTGATGTGCATTATTCAGCAGAGTAATCAGCTGGCACTAAGCTGTGCTGGCAGTAGAAGCTCAAGCTTTTCATCTCTGGAAGCTTGAATTATTATGATTTTTTAAAATCTAAATTGGGTCAGTAATGTTTTGGCAATTTCAGGATGGCGTGACAGTTGGTGGAGGGCATTACAAAACATACCATGTGATGCACAGCCACGCAAATGGTGTGCTCAACTGCTCCAAGTGGTAGAGCCTAGCAGGAGGGCTCCTCCTCATCAGGAACGAGGGGTGCTGTCTGAGGACAGGGCAGGATCCTGCACAGAGCCTGCCTGTACCATGCATGATTAGCTAATTATCTCCAGCCTTGTGGAGTGCTGCATTCATGCAGCAAATACTGTGAAAACATGAGCAGGTCGAGGATCAGCCTTGTTCACAACAAAGACATAAGCAAACTGATAAATATTTCCTAAAGAACTCCCAGGGAGGTCAGGAAAAGGTATGTGTCCTTGGTGACAGTCACCCTGCTAAAGAACAGAGAGGATGCAGGAGAAAAGAACAGATTAAGCATGAGGGAAAACTACCAGAAACAGAATGGAAAGTTTGTTCAGTGCCTGCATTTGTAAACCAGGAATGTATTAAATCAGAGTGAAAAAGGGAGCTATGGAAAAAAAGACACCTATCTTAAGCAAATGTGATACGAAAAATGATGCTACTTAGCTTGCTTGTTTAGCCAGCACATATTCTCACGGGATGAGGTGATTTAATTAATCTAAATAGAAAACCTAGACAGAAAAATAATTTTAAAAGAGAAAACAAAAGCTGTGCACTTCTTTACTGCTGATCTTTTTGTTTCTCAAATGTCATCAAACATTATGTATTCAGTACATGATCCCAAGTTCCAACTACGGATTTTCTGTGATCCTAGGATTATAACTTAGAGAAAACCTGATTAAGTTAACTTGTGTTCTTTTGACATCCCTTCAGTAGCTTTACCAAATGGAAATACAGGGATGTGATCTTTTATTCACCATTCATTTTTTATTTTTTTAAATTAATCTATTTAAACTACTGTTTGCTTCCTCTACACAAAGAGTTAATCATTTCCTTTTAGTTTTTCCTTCTCCACTCTTGTAGTGTGTACATTCTTTTTAGCATTTACCATCAAAACTTTCCTATATTGCAAAGGACCGCTATGATTTTTTCCTAGGCAGATGATGAAACGAAGATCAGAAAGACTTTTTTAAAGTATGTGTTAATTTTGCATACTCAATTTGAAAAGAAATTCAGATCTGTCTTTTAATTAGTATTTATTATGCAGTTACCCTTTATATCTGGCTTTGACCATGACTGATCTGAGCAAGTGACATTTTAAACTCCAGAGTTTTTATATGCACTGCACAACAGATATGGCTTCACAGACAAATTGTGTGGGTAAAATGTGAAGGCATGACTTCTACTTGTGTTTCTACAGTTCTGTTCTTACACCACAAGAGCATAAAAGATTCTGGACATCTTGAGCCAATGCTGTTTCTGGAGGGATATTGCCTCATAGCAATTTGGCCTATTTCTTCTGTTTCTGTCCATTTTTTCAAGCTTTTTTCACTCTAAAAATCTAATTCCTTACTGCATGTTGTTGCCTCTCCCTTTTCCTTAACTACTTGCCTTTTCTCGCCTTCTTTCCACACTCCTCTGTTTCTGTTTATTCTTCTGTTCCAGTGTTCCAGAATCACTCCTTTTTTCTTCTTTCTCACTTTATGGAAAAGCAAGAGTGTGATTGTTTTGTAATGAGCCAGATTTGCACCTCATCATACTTTTTTCCACAGCCCACATTACGTCTTAACAGGGAAAGGCCCACTCCATTTCTGCAGCAGTAAGTGATGGAAAGTCCTCACCACAGGCTTACCTAGAACAGTGACCGTGCCCCAAGAGAGGACTAATAGACCTACTTCAGTACCCCTGAGTGTTAAGAGAACAGAGCTGCTACATTTCTACTGATTTCTTATGAACAGTGGTGGATTTCTGAAAAGGAAGAACTCTTTATTAAATCTAGGAGCATTTCCACCGGGCTTCATTAGAAAGGTTAGCATAGGGGCATCCAACATACTGGACTCTGAGCAACTCTGTGTGGCCCTGCTACCAGGGCAGCTGGATGTACCTGGCTGGTGCAGATGTCCAGATCTGAAGTTGTGGAAGGGACCACAGTGGTTGCTTAAGCCAGATGTGGGATCCCAGCTGCAAATCCAGCCCTGTTTACTTCAACTTTCATAGAATGGGAGGATCCCTGGTGACTTATGACCAGTCTGTGCTCTGCAAGATTTCCCTTTCCCTCCTATTTTCAGATGTGTAGTATTTACTGCATGACTGAGCCACAAGAAGATGTAAATTTACTGCTCAAGGAGGCTGGAAAGGTTGGCCAGCCTAGTAATGAGCCAATTGCTAAAATTGGCTGAAATGTTTTCAAGACTGAGAAGAAGATGGGTGACTTTCCTGTAACTGTGCTTTGGAAAACAGCTGACTAGGTTCAGCTGAAGCTTTCAAAGAAGAGTGTGGAAAGACTGAACCAAAAGTATTCTCTTTAGCAAATGCAGCTTACCATCCAGCACTCAAGGAGCAATTTTAGCCTATTTTAGCCTTCTCTACGGTGGTTGTAGCTTATACTCCTATTGTTCATTGCCAAGATAGTTGTACTTCATTTCTTTTTTGTCACTTAAGATTACTGATATAGTAGTTATTGTTTTGTTTTGTTTTTTTTTTTTAATTGTGAATGTTTAGCTGTAAATTGTTTTGCTACCCACACTGCATTGTTGCTGAAAAATGCTGTGGTAAAAGGTGACACTCTACAGTGATCAGGTGTTTAATGCCTTCTTAATTGGACTGTGATCAAATTTAATAATTTCAGAAGTAATTCTAGTGTGTCAAGGTTTCCGTGAAAGTGTGGCAAATGAATGAGCTTTATTACCTCTAGGGATGTCTGATGCTTAATTAAGTTATTGTCATTCTCTAAAATGAAGTCAAAGAGAAGTAACATCATACGTGTTCAAAATGCTTACTGGTTTAACAGATCAAGTGCTGAAATAGTGTTTTACTTTAGACACAGACAAGTTCTTGAGCTCTTACAGCATATTTATTTTCTTTCCTAGCTGTTCCATATGATCATATAATGCAGGGCAATTACTGAAGTTTTTATCTGGTAGATTACCCTGCTAACCTGGCACTCCAGTAAATTGCTATGTTCCAGCAAAAAGACTGGGCATTATGCAAAAGAGCACCTCAGCACAAGAATCTGTTTAGCACAGAAGCACATTCATTGTGATTTTCATGTTATTTTACTGTTTTGTAGGATTGTATTGATGTGGGTTGGTGGGAAGGAGAACTGAATGGCAAACGAGGAGTGTTTCCAGATAACTTTGTCAAGCTTCTTCCTTCCGATTTTGAAAAAGAGGTAAGCATTATGTTCTTTCAGTTTCACTGTAGAATGCAGAATGAAACTCGAGCTGAAACTGTGTTTTAGATAGATGATTTAGACAAAGTTTACTTGTCAGTTAGTAAGAAATAAAAGAAAAAAATTAAAGAAGCAAACAAATTTCTGAGTTGCAAAACATCAGTGAAGAACATGTGTATGATTGACTTGTCCTGTCTCTCAGTCTCCACTACATTGTCCTGACAACCCTCTGCCCTACGTCTTGAGTTTGAGAGAAACTGGTGATCCCAATGTGATTTGCCAAGTCAAGTGATGCAGTGATGATCGGAATTATTAACTTTTCTCTTTTGTTTATGTGGCAGAACATCCTGTTTTGCCAGCAGTCATGCACTCTTCGAGAATGAAGAGGTTGAAACTTTAGCTGTGAGGTTTGAAAGATAGTAGTGAGCTTTTGGTATCTCCAAGACATGTTACGTTACTCTCTCAGGATTATTAAAAATGAAGTATGAAATCTGCAGAAAAGCTTTTTCAGCTTGTAGTTATTTGAAGAAGATGGTTGTTATTTACCAAACAATAATTAGAAATCTTGCAGCTCCCTGGAATAAAGTCATGGATTACTTCCCTCAAAAGTCCATTCCATTTTTAGGAATCTTTCGGTCATCAGTGTGATATTATGAGCTTGCACTTAGACTTTTGATGAGTATTTCACAGTGACAATATAAGCCTCCTGTGATAAAACCAATACTTACTGACACTCAGCTTCAATCTTTGGCAATAAAATTGGATGCCAGAAGCAATAATTAAATAGCTTGGAAAGCTTAATAAAAGGACTATTAAACAACTCACAGAAGCTAACACGATAATTATTGAAAATGAAAGTAGAAGAGCAGCAAAAACTGCTGGAGTTTAATATGCAATATCAGAGTGTATATCCTGGCTTCAGGCCTAGTAATAAAAAAGCGATTTCCAAAAGAGGCAGAAATTATAAACCTTAAGACATAGCGAACATTCAAATTGTATTCTAGAAGAAGAAAATCTTCATTCTTATCCATTCTTTTTGGTCGTTAAATTTATTCAGTCTTTCTAAACAAATAAATTGTATATCTTTAAGTATTTTTAATCTTTAGACTATGGTAACTTGAATTTGTGGAGTAAATGAAATATTCAGGCACTTAGAAATTGCAGCTAGATTTTCTTTAAAAGTGGAGAATGAAATTTTGTTGATTTTGGAAATGGCTCAGATCAGTCTGTGTGTCTGTTAGAACTATAGACTGCCTTTCTTTGCTTGAATCAGTGTTAAAATAGAAGGAAATGGATGCTTTTCCAGTGGTTTTGCCAGGTATTTTCTGATATGATCCAGAAACCTTGGATTCCATCCCACAGTATGAAACAATATGTGTTGCAGTAGATCTGCTTGTTGAACAAAAGCCTGGGATCTTTCACCATCTCCACATTCCCAGTTTTCCCTTCCATTCCTTTCCCCCATGTGGCCATTTCTCCCAGTGTTTGCAAGACTCTGTGACTGGATAAGATAACCAGAAAGGTGATGGAAACAGGCTACAAGTGAAACCCAGAAAGGAAACTGGAGCTGGTTGGACAAGAAGTAAACAAAACAACAGAGCAGGATCACAAGAGTGAGAGGGGAGAGAATAAACCAACTGGATAAAGAAACTGAGTGTAGAGAAACAGTGAATGCAGATGGTGGTTCAGATAGTGAGCTCAGGAATAGGTTTCTTCAGTAAAGCAAAGGTCACGCTTTTCTCTGATCTGGAACATGAACAACTGTTTTTTCCCTTCAGCAGGACATTTCAACTGCCAAAGTAGAAAGATGCTATTTCATTTGTTATGGATATTTTCTGTCTTAAAGTTCATTTTATGAAGTCATTTCAGGGAAGTCTGTGACAGATCAGTATTCTCAAGTCTGTGAGTCTTAATGCTAAGAAGTGTATGATTACATCCAGCCTTTGAGTAAATGAGATTCACAGGCATTTTGAAGTGACCTCTTCTGTTACTAAATTTTAGAGACCGAAGAAACCACCACCTCCATCAGCTCCTGTCGTCAAACAAGGATTAGGTAAGTTATAGCTGACACTGTGCAGCTCATGCCAGTGAGGACATCTCAATCTAAGTAAATGTATTCCAATTCATCTGTATCAGAATTGATATGCGGGAAGTGTACAGACAACAACTAATAATCAGAATCAGATTGCAAGAGGATGAAGTAACCCCAAAAGACTGTGATGTGTTTTTTAATTGTGTTGCAGGCAACCATCTGCACCATTTAAAAATAATGTATTTTGTCCCTTGTTAATTGTTAGCAAGCATGATACTTCAGTTATTAGAAATTCTGTTCCATTCTTGACTGGAGTTGATAGTCTTTTTGTGCTTGTCTGCAGTAGAGACAAAAAAAGTTGGAGCCTAATACTGCATGCAGTAGGAAACCATCTTCCCTTTTACCTATCGACCTGGTTCTATTCTAAGGAGATATTTTCCATACATAAGACAGGGTTAGAGAACCTGGCTGTAATTCAGTGATCCCATCAGAGTTGCAGTCTAGGTATTGCAGATCTGCATGAATACTGGCGCCAGCTGTCTGTCTCCAGGTTCTATGCTATAGTTAGATTCTTGTTTTATAATACTTGATAAACATAAAAGTGAAAGGAATTATCTTGAATCTGGCCATGTAGATAATTGTGTTGCAAATGCATGAAGGTGCTGATTATGTTTTCCACACATATGAGTGTTAGTAAAGCTGTTTTTGAAATATGGTAGGTTGAATTGTGCCTAAATATTGAGAGTTGAAACCACTTCTATTTGTGATTTTAAAATAACCACTCAATACAAAAATCTGCATGATTTTTTTTCTGTGGAGCTCAGAAACAGTTGAAATACCTACACACTTGACAACTCTGACCTCAGACACTGCATTCCTATTCCATTCATGTTAAATCACAAATCACGAGGCATGAGGCGCTCTCGGAGTTTTCATTGCAGTTGTGGTGGAAGCATAACTATGGCTGGCATTCCCTAATCCCCTAAGCCCCAGTGCCTAAGAGTTCTGCAGTGGCTCCACCACTTTCCTCGCTGTTGGTGCATGTTAGAAAAAACAAAACAAACACAATGGATCTTTTTTGCTGTCATGGTGGTCTGTTCCCACTCTCAGTGCTTTCAAAAGTGAATTTCCTTCTCCTCCAGCTTTGATCCATTGATAGAATAAACAAGTTACCCCAGAGTATAATTTGCTGAGAACCTATAGGTTATAATTTAAATGATTTAATTGTGTCAAGCTGTTCTTTGACTAGAGAATCACAACAATAAATATTTGGTTTGCGTATTGGCAACCATGGTTTGTTGCTAACACCGTCTGGAGACACCAAAAAACAAAGATTTGGTTTCAAGATCATTGAGCTAGATGTGTTGAGGGAGAGCAGTGTAACTTCGCCATCTAGTGGTGGCTGCATATTAAAGATGTGTGAGAAACAAAGTTATAGCCTGGTGCATGTTTTGGAAAAGCTCTGTAAACAGATATATTTATTTCAATTTTTACTCATCTCATGTCTCTAATGTAAAATTAGGGGGTAATCCTTTCAATTTATTGTACATATACAAACTTATCTAAATATTTAACTTAAAATTAAATATTTTACTTAATACAAAGTTTGATATTTGCTTGATTTGAGTATTTAAATATTTATTCGAACGTATTTTTACATGTTGACATCCAACACATTAGCCACGTTACCATAATGTGCCTCTTTTCAGAAGTAAAAATGGAGAGAGTAACCAAGGCTGCTACTGATCTTTGTTTTCATACCCACCTTTGACTAGTCCTGACAGATTATGCACATGGGTTTCTTCTGACATGTATTGAGAGGTGGAAATAGTCCTCTGCTATCACTTTATCAGATAATCACTTTACCAAGATTATAGTGTTTTACCACATCCTCACATCAGGCTTTCCTGTTGATAATTTCCACTAAGGTTTCTGCATAGTAACCAGTCATAATATCCGACTGGACTGTCTGCTGCAATCTAAATAAGTAAATATAAATATATTCTGATGCAGAGGACAAAACTATTGCAGAGAAATAGAATTGGTCTTTCTAGTACAAATGTAAAGGAACTCGTACCTAATCTGAAGGGTGTCCCTGGGAACTTGTGTGGAGTTTTCTAGAATTTCCTCTATGTCACCATCTCTGGGCAGCTTAGTCAGGGTCATGGAGCCTGGAAGCTGATTAAAACAGGGTCATAACCCAAGCAGGGAGCACACCTGAGCCTGGGAGCCCATAAGTGCTTGTATATCCATGTTTTAGATATTGCCAGAGAATGTCCTTCTGTGGGTTAATGATGAACATTAATCTTACTGTAATTAATAACTTGGGCTTCTGACATTTTTTTCCTTGAACCCACTACTATGTATAAGATTATCAAGAAGTTGATTTGTGCTTAGCATGAACCTTGTTTAGAAATGCTTGAGTTGGTTTCTATCAAGAGTTTTTCCTCTCAGGAGCGATATAGTTTTATGGAAAATCAGTGTTATTTTGGTTTTTTGATGTTATAGGTTATACAAGTGCTGTTCATCCAACAGTGCAGTTATATAAAGAAACAATGGCCGATAATCACCACTGATTGCAATTTGCACTGATGAGGACTGATTTCTAGGAACCAGCTGCAGCAGAGAATTATGACCGTACATTCAGAAAATGTAAATTTACTTGAGAACTATGTAGAACTTAACAGACTGAGGCAAAAAAAAAAAAAAAAGCCTTGTGTTCCTTGCCCTGCCTCCTCTACTTTTCTTGGATGTCATTACTGCTATTTTTATTGAAATACTAAGAGTGTTACCTAAAGCGGTTTTCAACACCGCTAAGTTGAAATGGTATTAGCACCTAGTGGTTAGCCAACGCAGTGGAGCCAATATCCAATAAAATATTACTTATAATATGGGGACTGGAAGATTGCATCTTGCATGTGCCAGGAAATTTTTGCAAAGTCTTCCCGTTGTTGCTGCCACTAGTTCTCATGCTCCTTATAGCAACAGAAGGCAGTGTGTCAGGGTCTCTAACACAGAGGCAGAAAAAGGCAGAGGCTTACACCTCTAGGCCAAAAGCTGTCACATAAAATAGTCACGCAGAATACTGTTGGTACTGTATTCCCATTCTTCTAATGTGTGGAAGTGAACAACTAGTGTTGGAGTACAATAGAACAGGCATTTTTTAACTTAATGTAAAATAAAACTTTATATCCTTGTTAAGCATCTTCTTGGCAGAAATGCCCAATTAATTGGTTTAATCTTAGTGATTTTCCTCACTGTTGAATTGCTCTTTGCTTCAGTATATTTGCAAAGTTAAAAGACTGTTAAAATGTCTGTCCACATTTAAAAATCTGTAGTTGTGTCCTTTATGGTATAAACAAATATATGAAATTGGATTTATGTTCAGTTTTAGCAAGAAATGTTGGAAGTAGGAGATTGTAAAAAGCCTTAAAAATTGCAAAATTGTATCTTGTGTGGCCTTATGTGGTGGCTTGTTGGCTTGGTCAGAATTCTAAATTCTCCATTCTTTGACAGGTACCACAGATCGAAAACAAGAAGTCAAAAAGGTGCCTCCTGAAAGGCCAGAGTGTCTTCCTAATCGAACAGAAGAAAAAGGTATGAAATGTGCTCTCCTGCTTATCCTCCACAGAGAGACAGGATGTGCATCAGTTAATGAGGCTGATGCATGTCCTCGTTTCCTGGCCCCACAATAGATAGTTTTCATTAAGTATATTGTTAGTTTGTTTATTTCCACCCTGATGGATCTCTGATTATATGCATTTTGGAAAGGATCACACTGGTATTTCTGAGCTAAATTCAGTGTTTTCAGTTGCACCAAGCCAAAGGTGTTAAGTGATTGCACCCTCAGCTGAAGTCCAAGGGAGATATGCTCTCAATACAAAAAAAACTTTCTAAAGCTACGTGCTCAGTAAAACCCATGTCCTCAATCAAGCATACCTCATGTCAGTGCATATTTTTTCTTAACTTTTGTATGCTTTGGTTCTCTAGTTGAAAACCATCAGCCCTGCTTTTATGCATCACAGAGAGGAGTTGCAAAGATATGGTCATTAACGCTTATGAATCATTCCATTATCAGAGCCACAAATGTTATAGGCAAGCCTATGAAGAAATAAAAGTCTTCAAAGCCAGGTTTAGAACACTGCAAGAAATGAGGTACAGTTCCACGCAGAGCAGTGACAAGTGAATGAAACCTTTTATAGTTTCAGTGTAAGTTCATGGTGTGTTCTGAGTAGTTTGGGAAAATAGTTATATTGATCTTATTGAAGATGATGTCATTTCATATGTTTAAGTGGACTGTTAGATTGTACAGGCAGGTTTAATTATGGGTTTCTTCAAAGTGTTTGAATTTGCAGTCAGGCACGTGTATGAGCGTGACTAACTGTATAACATGCAGTTATAATTTAGTGCCAGAACACTCAGACTTTGCACCAAGAGCTGTTTCTGTATAAATATTCTTAGCAATCTGACAGATGTTTTAGCACTTCTGTCTGCTAACTTTACTTCTGGTTATATGCATTATTTCTTGTGGTTATCTTAGGAGAAAATCCCTTTGCTTTCCATTTTGGATTAACAAAGCCAACTGTCAAAATGGTGGAGGTTTAAATACATTGCTGTCCCAGTGCATAAATATCTGTAACTTTTCTAAATGTTGAAAGAGGCAATAGGAATCATGCCTACATTTCTGAAATGCTGGGGAGTGATGGGAATTGATTAGTTTGACAGAATGGGTGAGCATGGGAAACTTCCTTTACACTGCACGCTGGTGCACTGCTTAGCCCATCTCTAGTACATAGTTTAGAACCTTAGACACCTACACAATATAAATAGCCATAGGAATAAATGTGTAAAAATTACACACTATAATGATAAAGCTTCGCTGTTACAGAGGACCCAATAACTGTGTCAACAAAAAGTGTACTGAAAAAGTGATATGTGCCTGTGAATAACAATCACATAAACAATCACATACTGAACTGTTCCAAATCAAATCTGAATCCATATTGGACACTGGAGATACCACATACTTTTATGACTCCATAAGATTACATAGTAGTCCACTTGTATATTCCTACACCATTCATTCATATGGCGGATAGTGTTTGGATAAATTAAAAAGTGCAGAAATAAATTGATCCCTAGGTGTCCAAACACTGTTTCTTTATTAGATAAACACACACAATTGCATTATGCTAAAATTTTATTTCAGTATTTCTTCTCGCATTTTCGTTAAGGAGAAGTTTCTGTTGATTTATATTCCATGATCCCCTCGGACTGACACATAGAGCCCATCAAGAAACACACTTTTATAGTCTTAATACCTCTCAGGTGTATACAAAGACTTAATAATATTTACAGCACATTATAGACAGTGTTATCAAGGGAAATAGGGTGTTGACACAGTAGGATACTGGGAGTGAAAGTTTTGCCTTATCCTCTAGAAGAATCAGATTTCCTATGCTGTGGCAAATATGTTTAGTTTCTTCTGTGTTTATTTTGCATTGTGAATTTAGAGCATATTATTTTCAACAGTTATTACTGTGTAATATGTTTGACTTATATTGTATGTTTGGCATTGAGTCTTAGTGCTGTGGCACCTCCTAACAATCTGTGCTGCATGTGATCTAGGTTTGAACTGGGAAGCTGAAAAAGTCAGAATATGTCTGCTTAAAGATCTAAATAAAATATCTGATTTTTCAGAGGGGTTTTACATCCTGCCCAACATGTCTGAATTTTAATGCTTGTATTTTCATTTAACTGTGGTTAAATGAAACATTATTTTTTTTCTCCCCCAGAAATCCTTTTTCTCTTGTTTGTTCAATAGAAAATCCAGAATTATTATCTTTCTGACCTTCTAACTTAATATTGGTTTTATAAGCATTTAATATGAGTTGATCTCAGGGGAAATTGTTGCACATGATATGTAATTTCTTGTTATTTTTCACATATGCTCTGAAACCAATGAGTTACTAAAATAAAAAATGCCATTTGCATTCAGACACTGCGTACACATTTCAGCCATGAGGAATTACATTCAGAACATTCAGGCAGTGCAGACTGGTTTGTGGCAAACATTTTAAGTAAAGAATGACTTAGGACAGAAATGGAATGGAAATAGGATTATTCCTTGTATATGATATATCTACACTTGAATTGTTATTGTTCAATTATAGATGTGTTAGTGCAAATAAATTCCACTTAATAGCCTGTGTTTTTTTTCTCTGGAAATAATTGATTTAAAGAAAGATCAGAGAGAGAGCAAAAACAGTTAGACTTGCAGAAGCCTTCAGTTCCTGCTATACCTCCGAAGAAACCACGGCCACCCAAAGCAAACCCTGTGAACAGACCTGGTACCTTGCCTCCAAGAAGGCCAGAAAGACCAGTTGTGCCTGCGACTCATACAAGGTATTGTTCTTCCTCTGTCCAGTGCTTTTGGAATTAAAGGAAAAATCACCTGTATAGAATTTAGATTTTGCAGTTAATGCCACAGTTTGCAAAGAAAAATAATGTTAATAAATAATCTTTCTAATTTTCTGGTTGCATCGTAACCATATCCTCAAGAACAGCAGTTTTAGTCTGGTCATTACTAGTTCATCTCCACTGATGAATGTAGTGAAACAGAAATGTCATAGTTTCCACTGCAGAATATGTGAGAAACATCTACATCAGTGTGTTGTGCTGCTGATGATTTACTTAGTCTGCCTAAATTATTCCATCTTAGCCAGAGCATTAAATCATTGCCAAAACTTGGATTGTACTGAGTGAGGAACGGTGTTAGACAGTGTACGTGTCAAGCACTGCCAGCTTGGTTTCAGTCTGTTTCCCTTGATCATTGTAGATCAATTTTTAGCATGCTACATGTGTCTTCTCAGAATGTCCTTTAAGTTGATGCTACTGGAGAATTCTGCTGTCAAGTGATTTAATCTCTGATGTTGGTTGTTATTCTGTAGTTACGTGATGCTCCTTATCAGAGGTGGTTACAGCCTTTAAGGAGCACTGGAAAACTAGGCTTGTGAACACATCTCTGCTTACTCTGGGAAAAGCTGAGGCCCCACCTATAATCCTAATTGTGTCTAGATGGCTACTTGATAGTCGTTAGATTCTTGACTGTGCACTGCAGACTTTCTTTTTGCAAAGTAGGTAGAAATAGGTGAAAATCAGAAAAAAAGCAATTGTGTAAATTTGGCAAACTGCATGCCTTGCAGAAATAATACTGTAGACATAGAAATAATTTTACTATTGAACTGTTAGAATAATTTGCTGCCATGGAACTAGTGGAATTAGCGGAATATTGACAGCGGATTAACTACCAGAATGGAGTGGAAGGTAGAGTGGAATAAAATAAAAATCCTAGGCATCGATTCCCCTCATTCTTCCACGTATGCTTCATTAAACAAGTGCTCTCAGCATGAAATCTGAGACACAAAATAAAGAGCTGATGCCTGCCTTGTGCTGCTGGTTTCATCTCACTGAAGTGCCTCGGCTGTGTGTCTCTGAGAATATACACTATTAGCCATGTACTGCTACCACAGCTTCTGTTGGACTCCTTGGCTCTGGACATGCTTGCCCAGGTTTTCCACAGTGTGGCCCAGACCTGCTGGTTTCTTGGCCATGCTTGAAAAAGCAAGTGCTTGCTATGGCCTTTAAGATTTAGCTGTGGTATGTTACTGGCAAGCATTATTTTACCCAGAGTTGTGGGTGGGTCATTTATTTCTCTTCTGTTTTCCCATTTTCTGACTACAAAATTGTTAATAAACAAACAGTGTACTTTTAAAGATATTTTAGATTTCTGGTTAACTAAGTGAAACAGCAGATCTGAACTGCAATCCGGTCTTGTTAATTATCCAAACACTGCTATTTCTAGCACAGAGAAAAATACTTCATTCTCTTTATTTAAAAAATATTTAAAATTTTATATTTGGAAGAGGTTTGCTTTTTAAAGTAGTTAGATTAAAACAGTAGAAGAAGAAATGATTTTTGGAGTGATGATGATGCTATTCTGATGGTCATAGTGCTAGTGTTTTCACTATGAATTGCTTTATCAGCTAATTCAAATTAATGAATTTATCTCAAACAGCTGTTCTGCCTAGTAATCTTTAACTGACAAGGGTGTCTTGTAGAATGAGGACGGAAAGTTAACAGAATAAGAAAGAACTGTGAAGCTCCAGATGAAAGGCACTTTAATAAAGGTGTGTTAAGTCAATTCAGTTTAATAAAACAGTAAATACTTTTCAGGCACTCTGGTGTCTGTTTCCAGAATCTGAAAGACCTAAGGTGATTAGAATAAAAGTAGAACCAGCAGAATTTTTGCTGACCCTAATGTGGAAAGGTGCTATAGATTTATAAAGTGATTCCCATGAGACTACCTTTGCTTCAGGTTAGCAGAAGAGTGTTTTTTCTGTTCCAAGTGCCTTCAGTCTCATGCATCTCACTGGCTTTTTGTGGTAATAATTGTTCTTCCTTTTAAACGTTATTTTCCTTCCTTCAAGGCAGATTAGGACTCCAAGGGCAATAGAGAGACAAAAACCATGTGAGACAGAGAATAGCTGTCAATTTGCTGCAAAGGCTTCACAGCTTATTTAGATGTATATTTGATTACACAGTTTAGTGATGAATCAGTCGATTCTCCTGAGAAGGCAAGCCCTAAAGACCTACACCAAGTGCATTTTTACTACTAGTCTAAACCAATCTTGAGTCTCTGCTGCTGAAAGGGGCAGGTTCCTTTTCCTGGCAGCCCATTCCTGCACCTCCCTTATGTTAGCACCAGCATTTGTGCAGACATTCAGCCATATGGGTCAGGGAGTTGCTCCAGATGGCAATTAATCACTTTGCAAGGGGACTTCTATTAGCGTGGGCTTTCTTTCAAGGCTCATCAGCTGTCCCATCAAGCTGACAGCCTGTCTGCATAGGCACGAGCAGAGAGAGGGAGATGCTGTGTCCAAAAAGAAATGACTTTTGTATTCATATGGGTGCAGATTAGCATAATAGGCCTATTGACTTTTTTTGTCAGTGGAGTAGATTTGGGTTGGGTTTTTTTTGGTGATGTCATGTATCTTGCCATCATCAGTATTCAAATGGTAAATGCTGTGATTTTCAGCCCTGAGTCACAACATATTAAGAATCTCCTCCAAAAGAGCGCTTGCCCATTTCCTAGAGTGCTTCTGACTAACATGTTGCTCTCAACTGGCTGGGAAATACATGTGTGCAAAACAGAGTAGGCAGTCAGATGTTCATTGTCGTGTGAGCCAAGAAACTATGTTGTTTCTTATGTATTTATATATACATATGCATTTTTGATAGGTGAAAAACCAAAAGATAAGTGATCGGATAGATCACATTATTTATCATCTCAACAATTAATTGGTGATTCCAGGAGTGTATTGCTTCCTCTACGTTGCAGACAACCTGCCACAATTATAGTTGTGTTGAACAAGGGTGTTTTTTTTTTTCAGGTCATAAACTGTCTGTACCATCTATTTTGTTTAATTAGATTCACTTAATCTGTGACAAATGTTTAGATTCTTTATCTACCACTCCCTTCCTGGATTCCGAAATAGGGTTTCTAGCTGCCTTGTGTTTCACTCATGTGCTGCTGTCACGAGTGGAGGTTCAGGCCGTCTGACATCAGACTATTAGGAGTTCATCTGTATTTTACTGTCAGTTGCTGTTCATATGAATGTATGCCTGCCTGGATTGTTCCAGGGATGATCAATATTTTTACCCATAATTCCGGTACCTTACATTCATCTTAATCGTTTCAGTGCTATGCTGGGAATAGTTATTGTGGAGAAAAAATAAGATATTTGTGACCTTATAATAATGTTAAATACAATTTACTGCATTAACTGAACCATTGTTATTATGGAAAATGCCTCAGGGACTTGTCTGTGAGACCTGTGCAGTGCTGTGCTGCTCACCTACTACCGGCTCTTTTTTTTCTTAATTGTTTCAATAGTCAAATTATTTTAGTAGACTTAGTAGCTGTGGGAGTAGAAAGAATAACCTTGTTGCTTATGTTTGATCTCATATTTGATGTCAGAATTTCTGTAAGGTTCATATCCATAAAGTATCACAGCTCTTGACACTTGTCTATTCCAAAGACGTTTTCAGGCACAGTTAGGTGATCTTGTTTCATTGGATCTGTGAAAACCATTTTCATAGTCTAGTCTCATAAGTAATGTGCAAAAATAAATGGCAGTCTCCTTTTGTTGGAGAAGCTGCATTTACGAGTAGGAGCTGCCAGGCCACGTAACAGTTCTGTGAAGGTTCTCCCTGTCTGCAGTGCTCTGGATAGCCCATCGCTGTCATTTAGTCAAGCTAATTAATTACAAACAGTTACAAATAAGATATTGAAGGCTGTCCCTTTGCCCTTAGATTTCCTTCACGTTGAGATGCTGTGAACATTTGGAGAATTATTTAGACACTGCGGTGTCTAAAATAGGCTTTTTTGACAGGTGTTAAGGAGAAATGAGATAAGGTTAATCCATACGGTATGTTTACTTACTGGAGATTGCTCTCTCTGACACATTGCTGCTACTCTGCTGCTACAAGGGAAGAATATTTTCCTCTCTCGGTAGTAATTGCAAGTTAGCTATCAATTTACTGTAACCTATGCACAAACTCCAATAAAATCTGTCCTCTTCTTGATCCAAATGTAGGAGTGATAGTCCAAAAGTGGAATTAGTGGGGAGTTCGGTATCCAGTGCGCTGGAGAAAGACTCCTCTGAAAGAAGCAATGACATCGGTAAGTTATAGAGCTTTTTATAGTTTGCCTAAGAAATTTATGGTGCAAGTCTCTGCCTTTTAGAGGCTTTGTTATGATCCAAAAAGCAGACTGAGAATTTGGCAATGAATGTGAGTGATTTATGTCAATTTTTAGTTGCAGAATTATGGAATCATTTCTGATGTACTTTAAAAGGTTTTGTTTCTTTCTTTCTTTCTGCTAAAAAACACAAATAGAAACATGAAACAGTGAGCTATTTTGAGTAGGAGAACTGTTGTTGCTTTTGTTTAAAAGTGAAACAAGTGAAAAGGCCAACAATGTCATATTTGTTTAACAGATGTAATGTTAGTTTTGCTAGTTTTGCCATATTTTTAATGCTGCAAAATGGTGTTTTTAAGTAATCTTTGCATTTTCTAATACAAAGGAACAGAGATCAAATTCATGCCGATCTGAATCAATTCTACTGAAAACGCTGATTAAGAGAAGTCTAAATTTCTGTTTAAAACAGTATCCTATGTTTCTACCACACAAACAGTTTAATCAAGAAATCACCTTGAAAGGAGTAAAGATAGGCTGTTTTTCCATCTTCTCTCGCCCTCCTTCTTTCTGAAGTTTCTGTGCAGGAGATGTTTGCAGAAGAGAGTGCTGGCACTCCGAAGCAAGGTGCTCTCCTCCTGTCCCAGGGCTGTAAGCAAAGCCCGTGACAGCCATCTTCACCTCCACTGAGAAATCCAACAGTGACAGCTGCTGCTGTCGCTCTCCGCAGTCACAGCTGTGCTGTGAGAAAACCCATCTTGTAAAAGGCAGAAGCAGGGTACCTTGAATGCGTAAGCCTTGCTGCCTTTCGCTGGCAGCATGAAATGTTGTTTTGGTGTGGAGGTCTATACACAAACTGCTTTATTAGTGACCATTTCATAAAATAGTAACTTTTCAACTGCCAAACCTGTCTTCTCTTCATACTTGCAAGCGTAGCTCGAAGTTGTGATTTTTACTTGAAATGTAAAAATAAAATGCTAAATTAATTTCATATTTATGAGCATTCCAACATCCATATGTCTGCTTTTTCTTAACCTTCTGCTGTTGCTATGGTTTATGATAGTAACATTACTCCGTAGAACCAAGTAGTGTGTATTTTTGGATTTTTCTTTGTAATAAACATGGAAAGATAGAAGCTTGAGATAAATTGCATGAGTATTTTTTATTGTAGCTATTAATATGAAAGAATGGTGTGGAAATGCAGTCACATTCTGCCATTTAATGCTTACTAGCCCTGTTTATAAATTTGCTTCAAAGCCAGCAAGCCTTTGCATTCTTGAAAGAGAGAGCTGATTGCAAATAGCAAATAACTGTGTGATGAAAATAAACTCTTAAAATTCTCGTGCTAGTTTCTTTGGAATTTATATCAGGATAAAAGCCTAGAGTGCTTTGTTTTATTTTATGAGTTTGAACAACCTCTAAAAGAGTAGGTGAAAAATTCAATTTATTATGGTTTTTGTTCATTTCAGGAGCTAAGTTATTGTTTGTTTTTCAATGGAGAATAGGAGCCAACAGGAGTCCATAAACCAAACCACATATACAACATGTTGCAAAGGGCTTAGCTTGTGACCTCCTGTTACCACTTACAGGGGAAACCTATTGAGCCCACAGATAGAACAGTGTGAATACTTAGATAGGTATAACTTGATAGGGGTCAAACCAGAATGGCATTTACAAGGGCAAGTCATGTCATCCTAGCCTGTTAGACAACTTATTAAAAGAGAAAAAGAAAAAAAAGTGATGATTCTGGAATAAAAGTTGACCTGAAGGTCATAACTCATATGAATTTTCAGGAGGTTTTTGATGGCTCCTGTTAAAATATTGCTGAAGAAATAACCTTTTAAGAGAGGATAGAGCAATAAATTAAAACTCGATAAGCCAAAACAATTTACAGTGTGTTAACGTCTTTTACTTTGAGGAAAGGACAGTCTGCAGGCCACTGTAATTGCAAAGATTTATGATAAATACGCTAGATTTTTAATTTATTTACAAGAAAACAGAGGGTTGGTGCAGTCTTTTGGCTAAATGAGTAATGAGTAAAAGCAACGGATGACTGCATATGCTGTCCAGTATTTTTCTAAGCAGCAGTGGATAAGGCAGTGTGAGTGCAGGTAATAGCTGGCTGTGATATGTGTTACTGGTTGCCCAGTGCCCACACACTCACTGTGTGAGAAAGGCAGCGTGTTTCTCTCTGGTTCATCTTTCCAGTCAAATTGGATCTGGTTAAGTCTAATGGTCGTATGTTTTTTCATTAATCCAATTTCACACAATTAATTAGACAGGACCTACGTGACAGACATGGTCAGACTTAGCTGCAGCCTTTGCAGAAGACTGAAGTTAAATGGCCTTCACAGTAACTCAGATATATGCCCATTTTGGTGACAGGGATGCTGCCTATTTCTTCATGAATACAGATACAGTTCCAGCATGCCTTCAGCTCTCGTAGAGAAAATGGGTGTTGCAGTGTTTAGCTGCAAGTTGCCTCATCCTGTATCATGCTTATGCTTGATATTAAGAGTGAGCCGTGGTCTGCAGATGAATACAGCAGTGCTTTCCTGGCTTCTTTGTCACAATGAAGTTGTTGGGCAGTGGCTGTCACTTTCTCAACACTTACGTCCTATAGCTGCTTAAAACCCTCCTAAAGGAGGAAGGATGAGAACATATGGTGTCCTTCCACATGTCATCTCTCAAAATCCAAGTAAGTGAAAAGCAACAGCAAAGATGATAATATAACCAGCAGCTGAGAAACAATATGCAGAGGGGAACTGAAGAATGTAGGTTCAAAACTTGTCTATGTCCCCCATTCCAGATCAGTGGCTAAACACTGCTTGCTTTGTGAAAGTTACCTTACTGTTTTCTAAGAAATATCAAATCCCTAGAAGTTTTGTGGTGAGTGGATCAGTCTAAATCACATTTAGATACATTCTTACTCAACTTTACTTGAGAAGGCCACACTTGCTTGAGCAAGGCTAAGGTGATGTGTAATACTGCACATAACGTTCTGTCAGATGCATTTATGAGAGGTTATTTTGATGCAGATGCTAGTGCATGGCTTGATTTCACTAGCATGTTTTGCTGAATTCTGACTTGACATTTGAATTTTTTGATGATAATACAGCCTTGATTACAATTTTGCAAGCTGTGTTGACAAAGGCAAGACCTGGTTAGCAATGTGGCTGCTGATTGTAAACATAATGGCAGCTATTACTACTTTGTTCATGCCTTTGCTTCTTTCTGCATTCCTTACCAAAAACCAATGGAAAACTAGCCCTCAGAATATAATATTTAAGAGGAACCATTCCCTATTCCTCCTCACTTCTTTTATTTTCTTTCTCCCTGTTTTCAGTGATGCCTTTACTTTACTTTCCACACATATTTCATCCAGCTTTTCCTATTCACATCTCTTTGCCATGGGTAATTCTTCTTCATTTCATGAGGGTAAGGCCTTTTATTTTCCATTTCCTTCCTGTCCTGTGTTTGCTTTAGTTGACAGTGTGTAACAAACGTAAATACTTTGTTGAATGGCTGATGTGTACTTGGCAGTTGCATATTTTTTTAATTCAAAGTAGAAATGGAATGTGCTGTGACAGAAAGTCTTGCACCATAGCAGTGAAATGAGAAATCATTATAGGTCCTTTTATTTTCGAGTAAGAAAATTGAGTGATGTAAGTGAAGTGTACAGCACGCATACACTGTTTGTCAATGCTATGATTTCATTAATATGCTATTACAGGCAGATGATGTCATCACAAAGTTTAATGCTTGTATTCCACTATGATGCCCTTAAATGTCAAAAAATAAATGTTATTTAGTTAAGTGCTCAGATGGTTTTCTAGTCTGAAATGGGGGAAAAAAAACATAGAAATTGGAAAAGCATTCATTGACTTTCAGTGGATCTTGCATAGACGTGTCACCCAAAACTTGCCTCTGGTATTCTGGTGGTTAAAACACAGCAGTTAGTTTCAGCATTTCCTCAGATTTTATTGCTCAGAGCATTTGCTGAAGGATTATGGAGCACCAACTCAAGCCCTGTTATCAGCTGTTCTCTTTTCCTGTCCCTCCCCTAAGCCAGGTGCCAACGTGCCTGGAAAGGTACTTAAAAATACCCTACTTGAAATTATCTAACAAACCCAACTTCTTCAGAGTTTCTTTGAGCTGTATTTGCAAATGCTCCAGAACTCAACATGTGCTAACAAATAAGTGCTCATATTTGCTAAGAGAGATGATCACTGTGCCTCTACTGGAATAAAGTGATCTAATAAGGCTTGGCCCACACCAGGGAAAAAGGCAAAAAATTTTTCCAGTAAAACAGTAAAAAATTATAGAATGGAGCAACCCAAGCCATTCTACGAAACTGATTTTTGTGCTTAAATCACAGGTGACTGTATTGTAAGACAAAATTACGTTGCCTGAAGACACAGAGTAAAAGTTGGAAAAAGGAAAATACTGCTGAATATAAGGGTTGGAGGACAAAATATGGCTTCTGTAGTGAAGACTGTAATCTGCCCAGGACAATTCTTTCTTTTTATGCTACTGTTCATGTTTATTTGAATATAGCAAAGCAAAGAACTACAAAAATCAGTGAATCCAAATTAACCATAAACCTAGGTGTGAATTATAAACATTGTGATCAATGATATGCTAATAGTCCATTACGTAAATTAAGTCTTTTGCCCTAGAGGGTGCTGAAGAAAAAGCAGTCACACAGAAATTTAAATCATTCTTTATGTGTGTCAAATGGAGTGCCTGAAAACAGCATATCCATTTCTTCTAGCTCAATTTCCTTGACCTTTTAGCTCTTTCTTGGCATCTTCTGAATTGTTAAAAATAAAATCCTTATGAGGACACTGGCAAGTGCCTTGCTAAGATCGTTATGGCAGCTTTCTACATTCTGCTATTAAGCCAATAAAACTTGGGGCTGAAATGTGAAAATCAAATCGTATGCTTTAGGAAAGATGACTGTCCACCTTTCCTAAAGCATACGATTTGATTTTCACATTTCAGCCAGTCCAGTGGCTGTCCAAGGAAGCCAAGCCAACATAGCTTTTCCACCCAGAGCAAAGAGTCGTATGGGCAGACTGACCAGACAGACTTACGCAGAGCAACTCTGTGGCCAGGAACCCTCCTGCTAAAAGTGAATTACCCAAATCTTAGAAAAGAGTCAGCAGATTATCCTGGGTGTGATCCTGCTACCCTGACCCTGACTGAAAGTACAGCAGTGTTCCTTGAAGGGTGGAATGTTGCTCAGCAGGGAGAGATGAGCAGAACCTGAATACTTGAAGTCTGGTCTAGCATTAGGTGGAATGGTTGGTGGCCCTGCATGTGGCAGGGGGGTTGGAGATTCATGATCCTTGAGGTCCCTTCCAACCCTGGCAATTCTGTGATTCTGTGATTCTGTAGCTAAAACAATTCTGGGCTTGTGAAAATTCCCAGTAATATTCATATTCTCTATTGAGTTGCTTTTTAATTAGCACTGTGTATTGAGCTGACTTTAATGCAGAAGATCTCACTTGCCATATCTGTCTCATTTGATGCAGGATAGCTTTCAAGATTAATGTGTTTAAAGACAGTACATCATTTAACTAGCCTGTTGTCAATCCTCTAAATGTATTGAATATGATAATGAAATGAAATCTACCTCTGTGATTTTTTGTGATGTTATCTTCTTCAAATGAATTGAATGCCACCTTGGCCTCATTTATTCCAGCCCCGCTGTATTTCTCTTCTCCGAAATCTTGCCATTAGCATTCTGAATATGTTGATTCTGATATTATCCATCACTTTCCATTTCATTTTTCCCAAGGTGAAATTTCTCTGCTAATTCAGAAAGCTTTCCATCTTCATTATGCAGAAATGACTTTGCCCAAAGACTGAAAAAAAAAAAAACCCAAAACTGGGGCCTAGGCACAATTTCTGCTAGAATAGTAAATGAATGCATGGAGGAGGGGAGCAAGGAAGAAAGTGTAGCCATTTAATTCCTTCCCAGGAATTCTTCTGGAGGGATTGGAAGTTGTTTTCTGGGAAGATACAAATGTAAAAAGCTCAAAACTTTTTCCTCAAATAGACATTTGTTTTTTCTGAATCTGGATACTGTTTGGAAACACCGTGGCCATGTCTCCAAGCAAACATGGGAATGGTGAAAAAAATCCTATTCTTAAGTGTCATGGAAGGATACCAGGGAACAATTTTTGCACAGTCAGTATTTCTCTGATTTATTTCTATAGCTGTGTTTGCTCAGTAAGCTGGGCATTTTGTTGGGTGTACTGCACGAGTATGCATAAATTGCCAGCTTGTTCACCAAGGCAGTAATAAAGCTCAGTGCATCTATTTATTTGTAGAACAACTATTATCACCTACTTTTTAATTAGGGTTTTTCTTTAATTAGAGATTACCACTATTAATTGAAGGGTGTCTCCTGTCTTCTGTGTGTTTAAGAGAACCTTCGTTACTGATTACTATTAACAGAAACAGAAAGCTGGACCAAGGCACCCTTCAATTCTGTTGGATACTGATGCTGCCTTACTGGCAATTGACATGCCTGCAAATATGGTTGATCACATTTTAATGGCCTCTCATTTGGCCCTTCTCAGGAAAGTTTTACAGTTTGATTATTCTGTAAATTTAAACTTGCAGTATCTGATGACTGGAGAAATACACTCCAGAATCAGATGGATGCATTTAATAACTTTGGTAAGTGTGGTGTAGTCACACCCATATAGCCTGGCTTTCCATTAACAATAAAAAAATAAATGACCTCTGTAATTGAATTAATTACTGAAGCTGCATTATAGATGATAGTAAGGCAGAGGTCTTTTGTGTGGTTTTGTTCCTCATTTTCTTCACTAGTATAGTAGGTGGGAATTTCTGAATAGCCAGGGAAGGTGGTGATTATCTTCAATGCAGAAGGGATTTGGGAGTGAGAACAATATCTAAATAAGGAGAACAAACTGGGAGGAGACGATAAAAGAGCATGTGAAGTTACTGGAGATGGGTTTACTACTTTAGCATTGTACCAAGTGTTGTCCCTTATACTTAAATAGAGTCTCATTTATAGTGTCAGCTGAATAGCTGTGATTTTACCAGTTTGGCAGTAGATTTTACCAGTGGAACCTTTCCAAACTCTGCTCTGCTCCTTTTTTAAAATTCAGCGTAGGTATAGGCTGCTTTAGTTTATTTTTCTGGCCATCAGGAATGCATTCAAAAGTAGAAAAAATGGAGAATTGTCATATTTGTTCCCATTATTTGCTCTTAGTAGAAGCTTTGCGCAGGAATGTTTGTGTTTCTTGGTATTCATAAAATGTGTGGAGCACATTTCATCTGTGAGTGCCCATGGGTATTCTGAACAAAAATATGTACCCTCATCTGCTGTTATTACTACATTTTGCAATCGAAACATGAATTGTTTTGATTTCTTTTTTTTAATCAGACATAGAAGTCTAGGTAACAGTTTATTTAGGCCAAAGAAGCACATTTTGTTAATACTGTCACTATTTTTTTTCATCGATATTTTCCATTTCAGAATAGATATTTATCTTATGTAAGAACAGAGGACAAGAGAGTGGCACTTAGAAAGAAAGTGGAAACAGAGAGAGAGAGAAATTGTGCATTAGAGCACTCATATTTTCATGGGATAACTGCAGTCAGATTACTGCCCTCATAGCAAAAGCCTGCTTCTCCTCTCAGCTTTAGCTGCTACTGATCCTTTCTTCAGCACAGGTATTTGTGTGGCGTGGCACACGTTTTTGGAAGATAAGCTGAATTAAAACTAGGTCAGGAAAAAAACAGTGAAGATGGCTAGGTGGGGAAGAGCAGCTGAGGCAAGCAGAGTGCTGCTTCAAGTCACCATTTGTACTTGTGTATGTGAACTTCACGTGTTTATGGAAAGTCTGTTATTGATGGCAATATTTTCTTGCTTTGCAACCTAACTAGGTAACACACAGTAGTAAAAACAAAGACAGTGCATAAAAATACATTGCTGATTTGCCGTGTGTCTTAAGCAAGGCATTTAGCTATCTAACACATCAGCTTCAAGCTGGCTATTCTGGAAACAAACTCCTATATTTAGGCTGATGTTTCTTCCAGAAAAGAATTATTTTACTTCCATTTCTCCTCTCCTGTAATCCTGGAAGTCTGTGTGTTTCCTTGTAGTTTTGTGTAATCTGTTTGGGTTAGCTCATTTTTCTTTTCAAAGCATTGTAGCTCCACCTAATACTTGCATTCAGTCAAAGCTTTGGATTACCAAATTGCTATTGACTGACTGTGTTGATACCTCATGGCGAGGGCTGCAACAGTCAATAAGGAAGCAGTGAGAGAAATACCTGGCAGAGGACAGTGGTGTCACTGGTTATATATAGGAAGAGTTGCTCCAAAAATAAAGTAATGTTTAGAGGTGTATAACCTCAGACTATTTCAGGAGGTGTCTCTTTTTTTTTTAAACCTTTTTATAATTCTCCTGGGGATGGAAAAATATAGCTGAATCAAGAACGTCTGATCGCATTTGTTTCCTAGCTGCCAATTCGCAAGTACTTGAATTCATTTAAGTATCCTTCAGTGTGCACTGTTTATTGCACAAACACAGGTTTGTTTTTCTGTTATGTGATTTTGTACCATCTTTGTAACACAGCAGTAATGCTTGAACTTCAGAGACTCATTGTTCTGCAGCAGATTGAAAGTTAAGAGCACTGTTAAATTACAGGCTGTATTTCCCGCACATATGCAGTGAAAAATGGTCTCTGAGTAATAAATGTTCTAGCATTTGATTCATGCCTGAAAGTAATTTTACAGAATTTGGATTTATCGTGCCTAGAGTATCTCTTGCGTGTTTTCTCAATCATTTCTGTTTAACATATGCGATAGGGCATTCTGAAATTGAGGTGACTGAAACTGATATAAGCCATAAAAATAGATGAAAGTTGTTAAGTGATTTGGTTCAGGCACGTAATCATGAGCTGCAGTATTCCTTCAGCCTTCGTATCATTCTTTCACGTAAACACATGGCTGGATTCAGCAAGCACCTTCCCACTGCATTTCATTAACCACAAAGACAGTTGCGGGCTTTGTACTTCTTCTGGAGCCTGCAGGAGTTTTTGCTTACCATAACCTCTGGACTGCTGGAAATAATCCCCTCATCTTCAGCTTCTGGAAACTCTGCTGCCTTCAGCTGCAGGCATCCAGGAACCTGCAGAGGCCTTCCAGCTCCAGCACGCTCATTCTCTGATCCTGTGAGCAATTGTGTGTGGTGCTGCCAGTGCAGCGCTGGCTGTACAACACGTGAGACAACATGTGTGCTGCATTCTATCTCCAGCTGTTTGGAAAAAAAATTTCTAATCCTTCCAATAGCAAGATGGAAAGTTTGAAACTGTTCATTACCATAGGACCTGTGTTGTCATTTAGCTCTCACTGTGCCGAACGTAAACAAAACCAGAGGCTCCTCTGCTCGTTTCCCCTTTGTTGTGTTTGAGGTGGAAGGGCTGTTGTGTGTAGCAAGAGCAACTGGATTGCAGCTGCCTCTGACTTCCAAGTTCTTTTAGTGACATCATGTTGTCTAAATGTGCTCAGAATACTGTAATACAATGGGAAAAATGGGATTTGGTTTCTTTTGAAATTAAAAGAAAAGAAAAAAGTGATTTTTTTCCCTTTCAGAATAGTTGCCAGAAAATCAAATCAATTCTGTTTTATTTTTAAGACTTGGAAGGTTTTGACTCTGTAGTACCAATTGCTGAGAAGCTTAATCATCCAACTACAACCAGACCAAAAGCTACTGGCAGGCGACCACCCTCCCAGTCTTTCACATCTGTAAGTGTAATTTTCTTTTTATTTTAAAAAGATTTTTCCTGAACTTTTTCTTCTCTGTGTTTCTGTTCCCTGATGCTTTTAATCAGTTACACAGCCATTCCTTCACATGTACAGCGAGGCAGAGAAATGCAGGAAAATTTGTGTCTAAAGGCTGCCAATGTTTTGAATGCTAATGTTTAAAACATTCCCTCCCTTGTGAGACTTGTACCCCCTCCTTTGGGTGCTGCCAGGTATTCCTTGCCAACCATGGCTGAGGCCAGAAAAACTCTCTATAAAAAACCTTTGGAATAAATTAGTTTGTGCAAAATATCAAGGTTTTTAAAAGCATTTTCCAGAGGAAGGATTTCCCTTGGGGAAGTTCAGAGGCTTTTCTTCCCCTGACAAATCCATGGGTAAGTGGACAACGGATATAAAAAAAACCTTCCTTGTTTGCACCTTTGCAAAGAGGCCTATGGCAGGCCTGTACTGTGCCATCAGTGTGCATAGGCAGTAGTGAGACTCCTCAAAAGAGCAGCAAAGCAAGACCTGCACTATAAGCAAAGCAGTGGCAGGGCTGACACCCCACAGCATGCAGAGCATCCTAGCCAAGGAAAGTAGACAGGAAGGTGCTTTAGTCTTAGAGTATAATGCAGAGTATAATGCCAGGCAAAGGTGGAAATTCACATTGAATCCAAATGTCTAAGAATTTCTCATTTCATCTAGCCCTGGAAGCAGAACAAAAAATGGAAGGAGGGAGAGTGCTGGTTTTCAGGTTGTTACTTTGGAAATTATGACAAAAAAAAAAAAAAAAAAAACACCACGAAATCAATACCACGTAGATGCTTTTCTTATTCCTGTGTTAAATCCTCATACAGTGAAAATATCTGCTTTTCTTTCTTCTCTCTACTTAGTCGTCCCTTTCAAGCCCAGATTTCTTTGACTCACCAAGTCCTGAAGAAGAGAAAGAAGAACATGTTTCCATTACACACAAAACTATTGAAGTGTCGAGGAAATCAAGAACTGTTACAATATCACAGGTAAATTAATTGGAATGCCTGTTCATCCTTACTGTGTGGGTATTTTAATTTTTGAAAACATTATTCAAATAGCTACTTTCAATATTAATTCTTCTAATACCAACACAATAACCAATTGGTAACCAGTCCTTTAAAGAAACATAAAATGGTAAGGCTGTTCTTTGTTTCAGAAGTCTAAAGTGAATTGCAGAGTTAAATGCCTCTGTAAACGTAGTATGAAAAAAATCTTTCTAGTGTAATTGCACTTCACAGAATCAGGGAAGCTACGGAAATAAATGTTAGAAACAAAGACCTTTTTTTGCAGCTGTAAATTGAGTTTACATGAGATAAGTCTTTGAGCAGAGCAAATAAATACAACTTTTTGAGCCGTTCTAATAGTATGTGAATTAAAATTTGCAAGTACAGTCACTTTTTATACTGATATAACTGTATTTATCATATAGGCTTGTGCCATTCTTACTCTGTCTTGGTAGAAAACTGAAATTATCAAATACTATGGAAGGAATGTATAGAGCAGGCTTTAGAGTTTGGTGGTACAGTACGTAAGGATACCTTGGCTAATAAAAATATTACATTGTAATATTTATACTTTTTAATACAATTTGTATTTCAAGAATTATTGAAAGGATACAGTCACACACTTCTGTGATCAAATACTGAGGATAATGTTTTGCTATATAGCTCCCTCTTCTGGGTGCATTTGAATTAATTAATATTCTTGGGCCAACATCCGTAAATGATATGCTGGCATGACAACAATGTAAATGTTGTTCCTCTAAAACACGAAGACTGCTATCAGAAAGTGTCTGCCTGAGGCTTTGATCCAGATGGACAGATAAGATGTGGCATAACATGTTCAGTTCGGATGGCTCCAATTGTGCCTTGCTCACTTGCTGCCTGACATCCCTGTTCAGTTCAAAGGAAACTTGCATCAGGTTGTAGAAGGATTATTATCCATGAAGGATCTGGTTGCAGGTACATACTACTCAGACATTCATACACATATGTAAAATGTTAAAGGGGCATATTAAGATCACAAGAGTCAAGCATTCAAGCCACCAGAATTATTTATCTCTCTTGTGATTTATAATGCCATTTTTCTGTATCTGGTCACACTATTTGTTTCACAGAAGACTTCTATGCAGTGTTTGTCTGGAGCAGGTTCTGCACTCAGTCACTCTCATTTAGTAGAGAATACAGTTTTCTACAGATCTTGGTGAATCCTGCTTTTCCCTCCCCACCACGTTTTCTCTTAGCTGTCTTCTGATTTCTAATTTTTCTCTCAGTTACTTTGTTGAATTAATGCCATTGCTCTAGTCCTCAAGTCTTCATTTACCATGTATCTGTGTTTGCACATACTATTTGTTCTCAGTATCTTATTTGCTATACAGTTTCAGTATCTCTTTTTCAATGAGAGAATTAAAGGGCTGTCTAGTGTTTTCTCTTACTCTGGCCCAAAAATCAGAACTTAATTAGTTCTGGTAGGTGTCATATAATGCCCACATTAGCATTAGCAAGTAATAATATGATGAACAATTAAGACTTACCTTACTTGCCAGTGTGACAGTTGTACTTTTACACTGTTCTGTGTATGCAGTGAAGTAATGGATCTTACACGGTAGGTGTTTTCTATACCTTGTCTACTAAGTAGAGCACTGGAGTGCAGTTCAAGAAGCATGCAATGCTTTTGAGCTAAGCCAGAAATTTTCAAGGTAACCACACAAATGTTGCATTTTTCTCTTAAGTTCCTGTGGGAATAAAGAGCCGTTGGTAGTTATGAGGATCCACAGATGCTTTGGTTACTCAAAGTCAGAAAATAAAATTATACAACTATTTTCTTTTGTATTGATATATTTTCATTCTGAAGTCATGGGATTTTGTTTCTTTTTATATCATACCACCAAGCAAATCTGTGGAATTGTTAGATATTTTTGTAATACTAAGGGCAACATTTAATGCATTCCTTTTTTTAATTTTAAGACAGTGTCAGATATGGAAGAATCCTTCAGTGCTTGATTGAAAACCATAAACGTAATCTGCAAAAAATGCCATTTGGATTTCTGGCCTTAATGCTGTGCTTTGCGGGAGACCTCAGTGAATGCAGGCATATTCCTATAGTCTTCTGTGAGAAACAGTGGATATCTGTCCTTGTTTCATTATACTGCTGGGTCTAAGATCTTGGAAATGGCTTTTGCTGGTTAGTTTTAGCAACTGTGGAAACTTCCACTGAAGCTGTCTGAAATAACAGCTCCCAGCTACACCCCCTCTGATGTAGAAGTACAAAGATAATTTACCTAATTGTTGCATCTCTCATGCTTTGACTATGGACTTTCAACATTACTACAGAGCAGCAAAATACTTAATGTTTGTTATAGATCTGATTTTCATAAAGGTTTCTCCTGGCACCTTTTTTTTTTTTTTTTTTTTTTTTGACAGGTATTTGATAATAAAACTCCGTTGCCTCCAAAACCAGGAGGTTTGGCTAGTGGCAGTAATGTACAACCATCTCTATCCCCTTCACCATCACCTGGATTTCATTCAATTGCTATGGGAACAACAGGCCACAGGTCAAATTCCCCATCCCTACTTGGTGCAGAAGGAAAGCCAAAGACTGAACACTTGAGCCAGGGTCAGACTGCCCTGGAGGAGCTGAGAACACAAGTTAAGGAGCTAAGAACTATCATTGAAACGATGAAAGACCAGCAAAAGTAAGTACTACAAATCACAGCTGTAGTTGGAATGCATGCAATAAGCGTGGCATCAGTGTCTCCTGGAGCTTGTATACATTACTCTGCACTGATTGCTTTTGTGTTTGCAAGTGGTTTCTGCCTACTTCCCTGATGTTTAGGAAATGGTCAGAGCTAGGAGACTCAGGAAAAAAGACTGGCATTATCAGTCTGCAGCGGCTTCTGATGTTTCCTGCTTTGTGACATAGGCAGATGTTTGTGGACTGTTGAATAAGTTAAGTTAGAATTAGCACCGAATAATTTTTTATTGTTTAATCTGCTAGTAACTATTTGGAACTCACATGCACTGATCTTAACAGGAGAGGGCATTTGTACTGGTTGTAGTACAAATTTCACTCAGGTTCCTAAAAAGTTAGATCAGTGCATTGTTTCATTCTCAGTGCACATTCAGAGGAAGCTTGTATTTCAAAAGGCATAACTAATTTGTAATTAGGACATTTGAAGACCTTTGGGTTTGACTCTGCATGTTATCATAGGGCTGGACAACTTTCTTTTTCTTTAAGCTTTTCATTTAGTAGGAGAAACGTGGTCTGTCACATAGTTTTTGCTATTCCTGAGGGAGAACGTTGATGTTTTGGAAACTGTAGCCCAAGTAGGAAAAAGAAAAGGAGAAAAAGAAAGGGAAAGGAGACTGCAGAGACTGTAGCAGAACACAGGTGTGGATGGGTTTGGGGAAGAGACATTGCAAGAGGGCACATCTCAAACTGGAAGTAGACACCAAGCACCCTGTAGCTTGGCTCCTGGTCCTCTACTTTTCACAGCCCTTCTTATGTGGGCTGCTCCCACAGTGGCATCTGTCACAAGGTGAGCTCATTTCAATGGGAAGTGGGAAGGTTACATTGTATTGTTGGCACAAGCTTTTAACTGGTTTGAATATGTTACAGGGAGTTTTTGTGTTACCAGTCCTTACAATGTACTAACAGCCTGTCTATCTACATTTTATTAGAAAAAAGGCAACTGGGTACTGATAAAATGTTGATAAAGCTAGCTAAGAGCAAAAGCTGTGGATGCAGGACTGTTAGAAGGAAATGTATTACTCATCTTATTAATTAGCAGGAGGAGAAACTGCCCTTTTATAGATAGTGTTACTTCTCTATGGTATGTAATACACAAGAGTATACTTACTTTAATTAGTTCTTCGGGGATAAAAAAGAAGTAAGTAGTGAAGGAGGGAAAATATCTCCAGGAGGTGATCCTTTGTGTTTTACTAGTTTCAATATTTGTATTCCAAGTTTTTTATTGCATTCTTTTAACAGAAAAGAAATTAAGCAGTTGCTGTCTGAATTGGATGAAGAAAAGAAGATCCGTCTACGATTGCAGGTACTTAAATCATTTATAGCGCTGTGGAAATATTGGCAGGTTTGATTTAGCCTCAGGTACAGGACATAAAACTCTGATAAGATGCTTATGTTCCAGCGAATCAAAAGCTTTTACCATTTCTGAAAGGAGGTACCTGTTCCCTTCATCACATGGCCAGTCTGTGTCATATGTATTGCAGTTTGAGGTTCTTATGGAAAAAAAAAAAGATAATTATCTAAAAATTCATCAGCCCAAGTGGACGAATACCAAGCAAAAGAACACAGTACAGGATTCCAAGCATATTTCTTTAGCCTCAATTTTAATGGTCTGATTTTGTCACAAGTGGAATAGTGCATTTTTAAATGATTTACCTCTCTCCCAGAGCTTTATATTTTGTATTTTATATTTCACATTGCAAGATTTTTATGTCTGTTTTATAGACTGAATTCAGGTTGCCTTCACTAAAGCATCATAAATAATATAAAAGATGGCATTAGGATTAAGAACCAGTTACTGCTATCATAGTTTGTATAGTACCTAAGTTGGCAAATTGATTTAATGTTTCCAAGCAGCGTTCTGCACTTTCTGTGTAAGGCTAACAGAGCTGCACCTCTGTTAGGGTCATAGACAGTGCAGCTTCAGTGTGGAATGACTTTGAATCTGCTTTTCCAGATTTTGAAGTGTAATGTACTTGATAAGAGCTTTAGTATTGATTATGTTTTATATTTCTGTGGAATAGGTCAACTGTACTTTATCTTTGTACTAGGGGTAGAAAATCGAACTGTAATTTCACTGGGCTGCTTAGAAGAGGACTTGGGAACATGACAAAGAGTGGCAGAACAGGGGATCATCAATGTTTGTACTCCAGGGCTGTGTAAAGGACTTTATGCGTGCAACCACATAAGCTTCTTGTAGCACACAATTCACGTTCAGCTCAAATTGAAATAGAATCAGAGTTTATCTCAAGGTGAAAGGGACCTATAAGGATCATTGATATTCCATGCCCACCGCCCTGTGGTGCAGCCCCTTTCCCTGAGCCCCAGCTGCCCTCCCCTGACACAGCTCCATGCCGTTCCCTCGGGCCCTGTCGCTGTCACACAGAGCAGAGCTCAGCGCTGCCCCTCCGCTCCCTGTGAGGAGCTGCAGCCGCCATCAGGCCTCCCCAGGTTTTCCTGATGAGCTGTGGGTGTTTGCAGTCAGTGGCAGTTCCGTTGTGCTGGGTATAAGTGCAGCAACTGGTGCATGGGCACAGTGCTCGTTTGGTGAGTTATTTCCTGGCAGCAAGTTGCATAGGCTGCGACAGTCATCACTGAGACTTGAGAGAGTTCAAGAGGTCTTGGGGCATGTTCAGTGACTGTGCTTATCTAGCTCTGGAGGGAGGAAGCCATGACCTTGTGCAGCTGAGAAGGTCACCTCAATTTGTGAAATCTTTGGAAATAAGGGTGATACAAAGCCTGTACTGACAACTGTGGACAGAATGAAATATGTGCTTTTCAAACTGCGCCAACTGTGCCTTAGTTTGCTAAAACATCTGATTTCAACAAAAAAAAACTTTCTTTTTCCTTTCAGATGGAAGTTAATGATATAAAGAAAGCTCTTCAATCAAAGTGAATACTTGATAGATGGAATGTTGCATTATTCTACATGACTGAGACTCAAATTTATGCCCCAGCCAAAATAACTTTGTGCCAAATGATTTAAGAATTGCCTCAGCATCCCTTTATCGAAGGATTAGCACAACCGTTTTTGATAGCACAACAGAAATACCAACAGTGAGGAAAAATCTTCCACACGAAGCGGTGCTGTGTGGCACTGGTTGTGACTGAAATCAATCTTCTTGTGCTAAAGGCTCTCTACTTCAAGATCATAGGTGAAATGAAAACTCAGGCAGTTTAGTCCATAGTGGTACTATTTTGATGATATTTTTCCATAAATAAAGTGTATTTCAGATTATCTGTTTACAAGCTTTATGATTTTGATTTTTTTGTTTGTTTGTTTTTGTTTTTTAATTGTCTTTTGTCACAGATTTTAAAATGTTTGTACTGCATATAGCCAGGAATGAATGTTAACGTTGGGGCTGGAGGGATTATTTTTGCTTCGAGATAGAACAGCCTACTTCTTGTTACAGTTTTAAGTTGTTAAATATGCAATTTCATGTCCCCCAACCCCCTACAATGAAACTTACGTTGTGTACAGTAATGTATTTAGGAGAAGAGAACCAACAGAATAAGAATCCGGTCTTTGCAATGATTTGTGCCTTTCTTTGCCACACACCGACGGGAGCTGGTCGCAGGTCAGGTCTCCATCACGTAGCTGCCCACATCTCCCGTCACCGGTGTCCGGTAGAGGTGACACTCGCCGTGTACAGCTAGCTGCTCCACACTGCCAGGTCCCTGCCGAGCGGTGGGACGGTGGCGCAGTCGAGAGCATCTCTGTCTTCATCAGCTGTGGCTTTTTAGCTTTCCCGTTTTCAGTAGCCTCTCCTTTGGTTTTGAATGTTTATCTCCGCTTGGTTTTCAGTAGATGATTTCAGCGCCAGCCTCCGTCCCCAATTTTGCACAGAGTGAACAGAATATGCATTATTAAAGCAAAAATAAATAAAAGTAAACTATAAAACGTGAATAAAAAGTTGTATTATTTCCTGCACAAGGTTCTCCATTGTGTGACATTGTTTCATTTGCTGTTTATGAGGTGCTGTTTGCTGCATTATGTTGTAAGCTTTCTGCCATTGAGTTATGTGGAGTGAGATACTTCAAGCCCTGCTTTGCCTTCCTAACCTTGTGGATCCTGGTGCTTGCTTTGTTTCTTCCAGTTTCTGTTTCCATTCTTTCAAAATAACTTCTTCTGGTTTCCTGTTAGTGGTTTTGTGTGTTCTTTGCTAGCAGTGGAGCATCTCAGACCTTGTCAGCAATTCCTGGTGAGTTTATACAAAGCATTTAAGGTCATGGATATTTTTGCACAGCATGGAGTGAGTGGGTGAGTGATATTGTTGATACTGCAGAGTGACAAAAACACAACAAAATACTCAAAGGCTCCGTTTGTCATCTCACCAAATGCCGGTGTTGGCTCTATCCAGGATGTCATGTATCACAACTGACCAACCTGCCTGCTGGGAACTGGGTGAAAAGTAGCTCTCTGTCAGCCAGTCATGTTCCCACATGGCTGGCAGAGCTCCTGTAATCTTCTTACATGCACAGCTGTATAAAATACACACATCACCATATTCAAATCTTACCTTATGGAACTCAGCTGGCAATACTGAACCTCACTATTGGGATCATTTCTTCTACTGTAGCATGTGCTTGTTTTGTAACTGTGGTATCTGAGATTAAAAGATCTGATGATGAAACTTGAGAATATTTCAAAAAGTCCCAATACATTGCTCAGTGTTTTTAAATAGAAGCACTAATAAAATGTTTGTCACTGAAATGCTCTTATTTAACATTTCTAAATAATTACATCACTTTTTTATACAAAGAGTGATAGTCCCAATATAACTTTCCAGCAATAAAGGTTTGTGAGGTTGATAGCAGTGAATAGAAGAGGATGAAATAAAGAATAAGAATTCTGTTTGGGTTTGTAGTGTTATATTTGCAACAAGTATCCATGCAACAGTTCTAGCTTCCTAGTTGCATCATAGGAAGAAAATAAACTATTATATCCATGGTAAATAAAGTTCTAATTCTGGAGTTGTATCTCAGACATGGAAGGGACTTCTCAGAAGTGTTCCATTTTTTGTAAATGCAAGTATGAAGTTGACGAGGATTTTTCTGATAGCAAATCACATTGATTTTTCCCCCCTGTTGATGATACCTTGAGATGATAACTTGTCACTTGATAAATCCAAGTGAAAAGTACAGCGTATCTGCAAATGAAGATTGAATAAGATTTGGTGAAAATGCTTTGCTTTGCAAGTTTATTATTATGGGATAAGAGAGTTCAAAGCAACACAAGTTTTTCTGCTTGCTGCATTTCATTATAACGGAAAGTATTTTACACAGTACGTGGATTTTTCCCTTTTCAAAGGGGATCACTTATGAATGAAAGCCGTGGATGTGAGCTGCTGCTTTAAAAAATGTCTGGGTTTCTATTTAAAGAAAAACAGGAAATGCTGGTGAGCTGCAAAGTGCTTTTGATGTGACAATGATTAAATACTGCTGTTTAAAGAGTTGTGGGAAATGATTTCTTGTTAATATGCACACAGTGGTCTTGAAGGAGACTTCTGTTTCCATGCAGAAATACGTGTTGGTATGGGATCACGCCTTTGGATGATAATGTTACTCATCTCGATTTGGAAACGTGTTCGATCAATGAGAAAACAGTTGTGTTCTTCTTCTAATGTTTTTTTTTTTTCAACTCTAAAAGGAACTGATATTCTTAACATGGTACCACAGTGCTCAGTTTTACATGGAAATGTAAATATCCAATGTGTTCCTTAAGTTTTACTAGTTAAATTTCATCTTCTGGCTGCATTTTTGTTATTAATCCATTCAGATCTTCAGAACTGAGCACAGGTTTGGCAGGCAAAGGCCCCAAGTGGGTGTGAGCCCCCCACTCCCACCCCTGGGACCTGGAAGGGAGCGTGAGGTCCAGTGTCTGAGAAAGGCCTGGGGGCTGGGAAAGGAGAGAGGCACATGCAGGAGGGCAGCGTTGCCCTTTGTGGGTAAGGGTGAAGCTGCTGGTTAGGCAGACGAGCTGTGGTTCAAGAGCAAAGGGGAGGGCTGTTTAAAAGTGGAAGCAACTGCTCTGTGACTTCTGTTTAGGGGGGGGGGGGTTGTGGTTCTCCTTTGGCAGAGGGTCTTCTCAGTGCTGACTCCTGTTCAGGGCAGTTGAGGTGGATCTGAATTCTCTCTACCAAATACCAGGTACTTTGTCTCCATGGTTATTAATACCACTCAGTCAGAAATTACCACTCAGTCATTTGGCACTTTTGGCCTCAGCTGACTCTCAAGCCTGGCCCAGGAATGAGCAATCAATTGCTCGTGTCCTGGCACATTCATTCCTGCCTCCTGCAGCTGCTTCCCCTTCTACCCTCCAGCCACAGCCCCTCTGTTTTGGAAAATAACCAACTTCCTTAGGTAGCAAGCCTGAAAGCATGAGGATGCCAGTACTTCCAGCCTGGAACAGATCAGCTGGGCAAACAAGACTTTTTTTTCTTGTCGTGTTCCTCAGTACAAGTTTTTTCTCTCCTGCTTCATCCCCATCAGAGAAAGGTGAACATGTTCACATGGAGGGACCCATCAAACTGCTCTTCAGCTCCTTAGGACAAAGTCTGGTATTTTGTGAGAGCACTCTGGAGGCTTTTCTTAGAGGATGTGAAAAGAGGCTGAGAGGCCATCCCTGCTGCAGGATGATCCCTCATTGGGTTTACCTCTGCAGGGGATGCTGTTCTTTCTGAAGGGCATAACACCAGTGAACTGCAGGAGATAGAGCAGTGCAACAGCCTCTGTGCCAGGTTCTTTCTCCTACCAAAAAGCAGAACATCAGATAAGAAAGGATAAGTACAACAGAGCACCTGCATAGAAATTGCTGCTGCTAGATAATTTGGCTACTCCAGACTGAAAGAGCCAAATTAGTTGAGCTCTGCTGGAAGCACAGATGCAGCCATTTAGCGAATAATAGCACAAGGCACAAGAAACATGGCATACATTTTGAGACCCAGCAAAAACAGCATCGGCTGGAGGAAGCTCGTTTATTAATGGATGTCAAATCTCTCGCCGGGGGCTCAGGATGTTTGTGCTGTGATTGTGCAGCTGGCTTTGGCATGTGTCACTGTGCTCAGGGAATGGAAAATTTCCTATGCCCTGACCTGAAGCACCTGTTTATGTCAGAAGCGCAGCTCAGTAACCTGTGGGTGGGGAGCTCTCCCACAAAAACGATGTCACACTCCTGCCAGGGCTAGGAGCTTCAGTGTTGGACTTGGATTAATCTGGTTATACTGAAGTCAACAAGGTTGATTCGGTCTCAGTGCTGACCTAGAGATCCCAAGAGAGCAGGGCAGCAGGACATAGCAGGAATGCATCAGCATGAGCCTGTCCAGCTGGGCGCAGTGCTGAAACAAGCCCACATTCTCCCATTCATACTTCCACTCTCCCCCCAGGCCTCATGTTTTCCCAGCCTTCTCCCACCTAATTATAAAAGGCAGCAATCTCAGGCAGCAAACCTCCTGCTATCTTGAACCTGGTGGTTTCCTCCTGTAGGAGTGTATGTCCCAGCACTGCTGTGATGCGCAGGAGGGGATCTGCCCCCTGAGCAATGCATCCCACTGCCTTTGCCCATCTGAAGCTGCTGATGCTTCAGCTCCAGTAAGATTGCTGCCTTTAGTATGCTCTGGTTGCTGTCTCCTTGCAGACAGGACTGGGCTGTCACTGTGTCTCTCCAGGACAGAAGGCAAATGGGGTGCTCTGCAGGCTGAGTTCAGGTTGGTCTCATGCCACAGAGGTGAGTGCGTGCCATAATGGAATCCTGTGGGTTGTTGATCTCCTGTGAAGGGGGAAAGAAAAGGTATGTGATGTTTGTCCTACATGTGTGTGCATGCCAGAGCAATAACCTTATATTTGGCTTCTTTGTTGCTGTGTGAATAACTGGGTACAGAGCAATACCGAAATCATTCAGTTTTCCAATTGGATTTGAACACTGACATAAAACAATGCTGTCAGGCAGCACAAACCTGCTTTTTACCCCTGCTTTAGGTAGTCCTACTGCTAGCACAGCCTAAGTGCTCATTTCTTCAGCCATGATTTGGAATTTTCCAAATGAAAAAGAGTAGACATCTCTCTTACAAAATTATTAGTAAATCCTGGATCTGTTCTTGTGAAAAGGTCAGGAATGTTTTGTGCTTCTTCAGAGTCTTGGAGCTGACCAGGAAGCATGTTACTGTTTAACTGGGTGCTGTGACCCTTCCCACTGCAAAGTGCAGGAGGAAACTCTTTGATACTTTGACAGAAATGTGATTTGACACAGTGAT